ATTTCTGGGTTCCAAATCAGGTTCTTGGACAAGAAAAGAAGGGAAAAATCAAGCTCTCTACCGATTTCCTCAAGCATGGCTGTCGGGTTCCCTTTCTTTTTCTTTCGAGTGGCTGCAGCGGGAAGAAAGAAAAAGAAGAGCAGAATCAGGCAAGGCTGGGAAGAAAAGAAAGAAAGAAAAAAGAAAAAGAAAAGAAGTCATCCTTATCCAAAATCTTTCCCTCTTTAAGTCCCTCAACTTTTAGAATATTCACATTAAGCCCCAAAACAATATTTTCTCACAATCAAGTCCTTAACTTACACTTAAATATTCCCAAAAATTTGGGATATTACAATTTCATAAAGTTAAGAGACCAAATTAAGCATTTAACCTTCAATTTTTGCCTACAATTTTAACTTTTCTTGCTCTTAAGCTTTTAAAATATTTTAACATTAGTCTCTAAACTTAAGTTATTATGAATCAAGTCTTTTCTTCAAAAAATAATTATTTGCTTAAAATGAAATTTTCAAAAAAAATTTTGTTATTAAAATATAGTATGGGTGAAAATGGATGAAATTTATTACTAATATTTGAGTCACAATTATGGTGAGTTACAATGATAACTTTCATAATTGAAATTCCATACTCTATTTGTGACCATTTTTTAAAGATGAATTTTTTCATCATCATTGAACATGTAGATATTTGTGACTAATACTTAAAATATCTCACAATTGTAATGAGTTCTAGCGATGATTTTCATCCTCACAAGCCTATATTATCTCTATGATAGTTTTTAAGTGAGAAAATACCTTTTAGTGATGAATTTTTTTTTTTTTTATCGTTGAACATATAGGTATCTATAACCAATATTTATAATTTTTTATAATTGTGATGAATTGTAGTGATGAATTTTTTCATTACAAGCCTATATTCTCTTTGTGACCGTGTGGTAGAGACGAAATATCTTTTTAGTACTAAATTTTTTTCATCATCATTGAACATGCACATTTGTGATTAATTTTTAAAATCAGTTACAGTTGTAGTAAGCTATAGTGATACTTTCAAAATTCGTCACAAATTTTTGCAACTAAAAACCCTTTCCCTTGTAGTGAAGTGTCATGTGCTCCTTGTTGCAACTTTTGTCCTTGTAAGATATTCATAGTGCCTACAAATGATCATTTTCCCAAACAAACAAATTTCTTTTCCACCTCCAAATCCAACACCATTCATCATCTTTCCAACTACCCATTTATGAGATAACAGCATTTTTATCCATTTATAACATATATAATCTATGAAATTTCTTCTTTAAAGGTGATTGTTTGACATTTAGTGTTAGTCACACATTCATTTCTATTTTTAACAAAGAAAAAATATATTACTTTTAGGAATTGCAAAAAATCAAAACATCTTGATAATTAAAATACTAAAACTCTTTATGAAATTATTTAAATACTATTAATGAATTACTATGCAAGAAAGATTCATTAAAGATATTTAAATAATTTTATAGAAAATTGCGGTATTTAAAATGTTATGATGATTTGATTTTTACTCTTCCCTTATTTTTAAATAAAGACAACACAAACTTTTTTTTGTTTAGTTAGCAAAATTTTTTTATTAAGCCAATATAAATTTTTTATAATAAATTAATATAAAAATAAAACTATAATAGTCACTTAATGACACTAAAGAGCAAAAATGAAGTTAAAATTAATTAGATAATTAGTAATTTTAGATGATGACAAAAATTTAATAATTAAAATGGATAAAATTTATCAATAAAATAAAAAAAACTCTAATCTACTAGTATTTTGAACCCTAATCACTATTCATTAATTTTTAAATGTTTAATAAAGATTTTATCAAACATCTAATTTGTAGTGGTGTAGAAATATACAAATATACAAATTTACTCAATTGTCTATTTTATAGTGATTTCCATACAATAGCTAACCACTACCCAAACCAAGATACACTACTAGAATTGTCTTTTCTCTAGTGCCCATTTTCTAGTGCAGGGGTGCACTGGCTAATAATGAACTATTTTCTATTACATTGCACTGGAAAATAAGGGTCACTAGTAAATGCCCAAATTTACCTCAATATTTCGCTAAAACAATTATTTTCCAGTAGTCAGCACTAGAAAATAATGACGCACCAAAACAATTTTTGCGCATTGTTAGTTTCCAGCACTGGCCAATAGAAAATAATAAGGATATCAATTATTTAATTTAAAAAATTAATTTGTATTTAATTATTTTCTAATGCAATATGTTGGAAAATAAGAATTTAACGAACAAGGCTTGAAGGTTTGTAACTACTTTACTATATTTTCCAGCAATTTGTGCTAGAAAATAAGTTAGGCTTACAAGCCTAACAAAAGCCCTAACCTAGCAAAATGTCTTAGCCCAACAAAACCCCACATTCCTTCCCGATCTCCATTTTGCCTCTCACAATTTCCACCATTTCCATCATGCCCCAAGCTACCCACTATGTTTTTGGGTCAATTTTTGCCGTTTGGTCATTAGACAAGGTAAGTTTGGCAAGATTCCAACCTATTTGTGTATTTTTTTTCTTTTTTTTTTAATTTGTTGACTTTTTTTTTTTTTTTTTTTTTTTTTGGCTTAGTAGCACCAATCGATGCCATCATTTTGCCTCCCCACCAATCAAACTATTAATAGCATAAATAAGATCAAAGCTTGCTCCTTTCTTCGAGTTTTAGGTTATTTTGTTCAATTCTCTAGTACTTTTGGCTTTTTTGTTTGTTAGGTTTGGTCTTAAGATGGGTTTTGGTTTTTTTGGCCATATAGGTTGGTTTCATTAATTTTGTTCGTTTTGTTTTTAACTTCCACTTCATCTATGTGAGTTTTCTTTCACATAGATGGGATTTGTTTGTTGGGTTTGATCTTAAGATGGGTGATGTGTTTTTTGGCCATACAAATTGGATTTGTTGGTTTTGTTAGTTTTGTTAGTTTTATTTGTAACTTTAAAAAATGATGCCTTCCTTCTAGGAACTTATTTTGTGCCATTCCTCAAAAAATAAGGGTGTTAATTTCTCTCTTTAAATTTTTAGAATTTGAAGTATTTTCTAGTGTAATGCACTTGATAATAAGCATTACTCACCATTTCCCAATACTTTTGAAATGCCACCTTATTGTATTGGAAGCGTCAAACTTCAAATTATTTTTTGGTGCATTATGCACCATTCGACCTTGAAAATTTTTGAAATGTTGTCTTCTCTTTTTATATTTTTGAAGTTCGAATAATTTTCCACCACGTTAAACTGGAAAATAAGTATTCTCTGCTATCCAACTACTGAAAAATTCAAATATGCCGCCTTTTTACTTCTACTTTTCAAAACTTAGTTTATTTTCAAGCACAATGTGTTGGAAAATAGTTCAATGCCCATATAAATGTACTTCCTCTCTATCTGCTACTTCATTTTCTCCTTTACCACTTCTTTTACTTCCTGTTTCTCTCCATTTCCCTCTTCTCCTTTTATTCCACTTTCTCTTTCATGTTCTCTCTCTATTTCCTCTTCCTCTTCTTCTAGATTCCTTCTCATGTTCATTCCATTTCCTCATCTCCTTTTCTCAAATTCACTACTATTTGTTCTTTTTCACTTAAAAAGTGTACTAATTCATTCAATTTTTTTAGGTATATAATTATATGTTCATTCATTTCAATTGAAGGTATTGTTAGTTTACATTTATAATTGTTTTCTAATTTTCACGTATTTTCATTCCATTTCCTCTTTCGCGTCTTCTTGCAAATTTTTTAATTTATACTAATATTCACTTAAGAAATATATTAATTCATTCTTCTTTTGTTTTAGGTATATAGTTATATGTTTCATTCCTATCAAAGGTATTATTAATTTACATTTAATATTTTTTTTCTAATATTTAGTTGAATATTACACTAATTCATTTCTATTTTTCCTAGCAACTATTTTTTTTTTTCAAATGTTGAAATTAGAACTATTATTCATTTCAATTTATTAGTAGTGTAATTTTCATTTGTTCTATTTTTATAAGCTCTCATGTATATAACTAATTTAATTTTGCATATATCTTTTGTTTTTTTTTATGAATTACATGGCATTAAAGTATATTTATGTATTTAATTAAATTTATTTGGAAAAAGATTAAGAAAATACATGTATTATATAAAGTTTTGTATATGATTGAATTGATTGTCATGCTCCTAAATTGGGAGTAAAACAAATGCCATACATTTGTGAGAAGATTCCACAATGCACAATGCACAATGCACATAACCTACTTAATTCATTATGTATGATTCATAACTATCAATCCACTAAGATCTAGAATCTCAAAATAAAATCTAGTTTTTATAACCAAGCCATGACTAGGTCAAGAAAGCACAAAATTTATACAACTCCATCAATCCAATCATGATTATATCAAAGGGAATCTAGTCTACAAAATAATGATCTATATCTCAAGATCTATGTCAAAATAAATTGTCAAGCAAACCTAATTACAAAATAATATAAGTCCAAAATATATGCGGCTAGCCTTCTAGCTCATTACTTCCCTTGGTTCCCCACGTCCCTAGTCTTGCTATCTGAAATGGTGGATGAGAAAAATTATGTGAGACAACTCAATAAGTAAAAATGTGAGAAGCTCTTACTTAATTTAAAGCATGCTAGATAAATAATTTAACTTAAGCTAAAGGAAAGATTCACATATAAATACTAATGCATAATAAAATTTATTTGTGGTCTCCTCAATTAGTCATGGCCAGTGTTTAACAACTCCCACTAGCAAGCATCAAGAATAACCAATGTACTATCCCACTAGCAAGATAGAAAGAATAAATTAGGGCAAATTGGTTTTTAGGAATACATGTCAACATGTGCCAACGTTTACAACTACCACTAGCAAGCTTTAGGAATCATGACCATATTTGGAGACAAAGCCATGTAGGAGTTCAATAGGAAAATTTAACTTTTGCAAACCAAATTCAAGTTAACAAAACTATCAAGTAAACTTCATGTAGGCATACTCATCTCAATAAAAATGATATCAACTTCAATTCAAGCTAGTCATGCTCATGCACTAGTGAAAAAATTTGGTTTAGGGCTTACCACCACCTCAAAATGGTTTAAAAGCTTTTAAAACATTTGCTTTAAAATCCAAGGCAT